CGGCGGCCGCCGCGGGGGCCTCGCCCTCGGCCTCTGCGCAGCCCGACCTGCCCGGCGCGGGCTCGGGAGGGAACACGGCGCCGGCGAAGTCCCGCAGCAGCGCTCGGCTCTGCTCTCGCTCCCACAGCTCGCCCACCAGCAGCACCTGCCCGCGGCCGCCCGCCGCCTCCACCAGCGCCTGGAAGGGCGGCTCGGCCGGGCGCGCGGGCCGCGGGGCCAGCGCCTCCAGCTCGCTCTCCATGCTGGCAGCCGGCCTCCTGCACCGGACCCAGAGCTCCCGGGCCGCCTCTGCGGACACGCCCCCGAGGGCCGAGCCGCCCGGACCCCTGGCCCGCCGCAGTGCCCTGAGCACTCGCGTCTCGGCACACTGAGTGTCATTCACTCATTCATTTTTTCAGACCCCCAGGGCATACTTACCCAGTAGGTGCGGGATCCTGGGGAGTCGAGGGTGAGCGGACCTGAATCTAACAAAAATACGCTCTCAGGGTAAGATGGTTTTGAATCCTGGAGCAGATTTATCTATCTATCAATCTATCTATCTATCTATCTATCTATCTATCTATCTATCTATCTATCTATCTATGTATATTTGTTTTCATTTATTTTACATATACAAGTAGTTTTGCTTGCACGTATGTGTACCAGCATCTGGTCCCGAGGAACTGGAGTTGTAGATGGTTTTGAGCAACTATACGGGTCCTGGGAAACCAACCCAGATCCTGTGCAAAAGCAGTAAGCGCTCCGAATCGTTGTGCCATCTCTGTAGTCTCAGGTTTGTTTGTTTTTTCCTTTTTTTAAAATTTTCTTTCTTTTTCCTTTCTTTCCTGAGATGCTCTCACGCCACCCTAACCTAGAATCCGGAGGTCCTTTAGTCTCAGTTTGGGATTACATGCCGGTATGGCTATTCCTAGCTTCTGGAGCTGGTATTTATTTTGGAGGAGTCCCATAGGACTTGGGGTCAGGGTGTAAGCTTCGGAGCCAAGGTGGAGCAGAAGAGTGGGTGCGGACAACAGAGAGAAAGGAAGCCTGGCGTCCTAGTTTCATCTTTGTTGCTGTGATGAAAACACCCCAACCACAAACAACTTAGGGAGGAGAAGGAGCTCCCAGCTCCTGGTTGCAGCCCATCTTGGCGGGCAGGTCACGGAGTTAGGAGCTCCAGACAGCTGGCAACATCACCCATAGTCAAGGCGGAGAGAAGTGAACAGTCTTTTGTCAGTTAAGGACTGCCATCCCCAGACTGTCTAGGTCCCCCAGGAGACCTAGACAGTCCCTTACTAAGACTCCTTTTCCATGCGATTCTCGATTGTGTTGCTGACAATTAGAATTAACCACCACACAGGACATACCTCCTCTACCCAGCTTCCTCTCTCTCTCTCTCTCTCTCTCTCTCTGTCTCCAGACAGGGTTTCTCTGTGTAGCCTTGGCTACCTGGACTCGCTTTGTAGACCAGGCTGGGTCCAACTCACAGGGATCTGCCTACCACTGCCTCCCTGAGCCAGCTTCCCTTTTGGTCACCATTTCCACAAATACTTGTTGAATCTGGGCACTGTCTGATGTAATATGGAGCATGGGTCAGAACCTACAGCAGTGGTTCTCAACCTGTGGGTCGTGTCCCCTTCGGGGGTCACCCTGTTTTCACAGGGTTGCCTAACACCATCACCAAACACAGATGTTTACATAAAATAAAATAAAAAGATGACAGTTATGAAATAGTGATGAAACTAATTTTATGGTTGGGGGTCACCACAACGTGAGGAACTGAACTAAAGGGTCACAAGGCGGGGTCCTAACGCAGGAAGGCTGAGGACCACTGATCTAGAGTTACGCTCTGGCGCTGAGGGGCGTGTGTAAGTGTGCGTATGTGCGCCTGCCTGTGTCTATGCGTCTGCCTGTCTAAAAACCGGGCTAGAGGCAGGAACACATTTCCTACCATTCACGTGGACCAGGACAGCTTTGTCCAAAGGAATATTCTGTGAAATGCTTTTCCTGCCTTGTGCAAATGCAGTTGTCCCAAGGCACATGTGGCTATTATTGTGTCCTGGAGAGGAGCTGGTGCAAAAGGCATTTACATACTATTTAATATCAAATTTAAATGCAAATAGCCTTTGGGGCTGGTATCTAACCTCTTTCTTTCCCCTTCCATTCACTACATAGTAACTGGCCGAAGGCTGTTGGTGCCGAGACATTTTAACACCCAGCCCTGGCTTCATCACAAAACCCCAATCCTCTTTTTAAAATACTTTGTTCCCTGCCCTATATAATTAGCTCCACCACCATGGAAGGTTTTGCTCTTCCATAAAAATGAATCTTGGGTACCTACTGTATGCATGAAGCAATCAAAGGTGTCCAAGATGCAGCTCTTCCCTGAGTCTCCGGGTCTAAGAGTTGTTTTACCAGTATTTGGAGGAAGGTGTCCTATTGGTTATCTGGTTCTCATTAATGGGACTTTTGTCTTTACAGATGGACTCTTGAACTTCCCTGGAAGGATGCTGTGACATTGAAGGCGGAGGTCGAAACCTGGGTGGGAAAAGCCCTCTGTTTAGAGGTGGATGCAGGGTGGGGTTCCATCACCAGGTCAGTGATGCCGTTACTTCACCTGGACAGAGACTGGGCATTTCTAGCTTTCACTGTGCCCAGTGCTGGGGAGCAGCTGTGAGTGGGCAATCTCACCTCCACAGAGATGACAGCTAGTGAGGATGGGGCGTAAACAAGACAGCTTCAGGTGGTGGTCTGTGTTGTGGGGAAAAAAAGAAAAACCAATGTTTAGCTGACAAGATGAGTTGGCCACCCTGGTCCTTTCTGAGTGCACAACCCTGACCATACCCCAGAATCAAGGGGCAAGTGAATATGCACCATGATAGATTAATAGAAAAACAATGGAACCCCTGACATGTCTTCTGCCCAGGGGGACACTTCTCACCCTACCCCATCCCTGTCTCCACCTCCACCATGATACCTGGAGACGGAACAGAGCTGAGCCATCCAGGAAAGGGATTAGAGACACAGAACAATGACACTGTATCCTCTTCTCTCACTGCGCCTCGCTGTTCGCGTGAAGAACAGCAGCCAGGGAGAGTGCTCACAAGACACTGAGGTGAGTTTCTGTAGATATAGGAGGGTGGGACATGGGGTGTGGCCAGGACCACATTATAAATCCGTAATGTCATTATACTGTGACGTTATCAACTGAGCCTCCATTCCTTAAGCTTGTATCCAGAAGTGACACAAGGCGAGGTGGGCTTTAGTCTCTTCTAGGGTTGCTAGCCCAGGCAGGGGAAACATGAACTCACTGGAAACAAGAGTTAGCTCTCTCTTTAGAGTGCAAAATAGAGTAGACTTACAGGGCATGGAACAACACTGTAACAGTGCCATGCACACGATGAAAGTATGTTTTGTTTTTGTTTTGTCTGGTCGGTATTTGGAGGTACGCAATAACTGGCTAATAGAGAAGATCTCTTTTCCTAGATATTTGGGGACTCAGTATTTAGAAAAGTGAGTATTCTCTCATCAAACCTCCAAAATGGCAGTCGAAGCTCCAGTCAGCACATCTCCCTCTGAAGAGCTTGATTGTTGTGCTACAGAAAGAACAAAAACCAAACACTCCATTAAGAGAATACGGGTTTGGTGGTATAATTCAGTGGTAGAGTACCAGCACGCACAAAGTCCTGAGGACCAGAAGATGAGAGTCTAGGAGCACTCAACGGCAATATGTTGTTGTTACGGTTAATCTTCGTTGTCAGCTTGACCAGATTATAAATCACCTAGGAGACACTCCTCTGGGCATGTCTGTAAGGTGTGTCCAAAGAGGTTTAAGTAAGTAAAGGGCTATCCTGAGTGTGGGTGCCTGTTTATACACACACACACACACACACACACGGGCTGAGCTCCCAGACTGAATAAAAAGGGAAAAGAAGACCACATTATTGGAGCTGAGCACCAATAATTGTTTCTTTGCTTCCTCCCTGGAAGCAACGTGATGTGCTGCCTCAGGCTCCTGCCACCACAGCAGAGCTGCTCTTACTGTCATGCCTTTCCAGCTGTGAGGGACAACACCCCAAGATGTGATCCAAAACAAATGTTTTCTTTTTTAAGTTGCTTATGTCATATGGTTTGTCCATGGAACATGCCACTCAAAAGGGCTGTTTCTCTGATAAACGTGACCATGTGGTTTGTCGATTACTGGGATTGATTTTTTTGGAGGTAGACAGTAAAGACTGGACTCAAGAAGTCCAGGGGGGAGCAAGGAGTCAGTCAGGAGCCAGACAAGGGGCTGTTCATGTGCTATACTGTGAAAGAAAATGACTGCATTCTTCCTGTGCCCTGAGAACTTGTATGTGAGGCTGAATTCAAAGGTAATGGACTAGTTTGTTTGACAGAGAGCATTTTAAGACAATATAACATTCAAACTGAGGCATAGTTAGTGAGCACGGGTCTTCACCCAGTTTACAGTGAGAAAGAGCAGCAAGTGGGGAGGGAGATATGAAAGATGTGCCATTTGGTGAAATATGTGCCATTTGGTGAGATAGGAATGCGAATGAGTTTTTAGGCTGCAGGTGAGAAGGGCACAGAGAAAGTAGCTATAATTGTCGGAGAGTTTAACAGGACTAAGAAGAAACTTGCCGTTCACACTGGGATAGTAGGAAAGTACCTTGATTCTACCTATCAAAGATTCTAAATGTGTGCTGGAGAGATAACTCAGCAGTTAAGAGCACTGGCTGTTCTTTCAAAGATCTTTAGTAAAATTCCTAGCATGGACATGCAACTCACAACCTAACTGTAGTCCCATGGGATCTGATGACCTCCTCTGGCTACAGACATACACACAAACAAAACACCCAGATAGATAAAGAAGTAAGTCTTTTTAAAAAAGATACTAACTTGTAAAAATGCAAATTCAATGCTTGGAAATGTCACTCCTGCGGTTGGCTGCCAGTACCCAGAGGGCACTACAGCTGTGGTGAAGGGGAATAGACTACTTCTCACTGTAGCATCAGACCTTGGCATAGTCATCCATGTGTGCTGGTTTTACAGGCCTGGAAAAAGCAAGAGTTACAGAAAGACGTGAAGCTGGGCAATGTGTGGCAGGGTCATATTCCCTTCAAGGAGACCCCCGAGAGGTCATTTCGTAGAGATGTGAAGCTGAACCTTGGCTGCAAGGGGAAAGCCACTTTGGAGATGCCGGCTGCAAGCAGAGAGGCGAACAGTGGAGCCACAGGGAGGCTGTGTGTGCTATGGTCACAGAACTGGTGAGGTGGGGCCACCCACGGCCGCAGGAGCCCAGGTGACGGACGTTATGAAGAGCCCCACGTTCAGGACACGAAGTGGAAGAACTTGGTGTTTTCCCTAGTGGGTTTCCCTTAAGCTTTGCCTGGTTTTTCTTTGCTGTGCCCCACCCCTCTCTGGAATGGAGACATCCATTTTGTGTCACTGCATATTGGAAGTACATAATTTGTATTTTTTTTTTATTTTTTATTTTACAGGGCCTCACAGTTAAGAGGTTGTGTGAATAGACTCTGCACTTACACACTTTCGAATAATTTGGAGCTGACAAGACTACAGGGACTTTTGAAATGGGAATGGATGTGCTTTATGTTACAAGGTAGCCATGTGTCTGCAAAGCCTGGGGGAGGGGTGGCAGTGTGAGGTGTTTGGGTTGGGAAGGTGGTTCAGTGAGCAGAAGCCTTGCTTGCACGCCTGGTGACCTGAGTTTTACCTTTAGATCCCATTAGGTGGCAGGAGACACCTCTGACCTCCACATGCATGAGGTAGCATGTATGCACCTGCCTATACATGCTTGTACCTGCATGGGAACAGACACATACACTCTAAATTCAGTAACATTAAAAAAATGATGTGTTTAGTTATAAGACTGACAGGGATGGGCTTGTAGTGACTAATTCATTGTCAGCTGATCACCTAGGAGACATATCTGGGCATATCCATGAGAATGTTTCCAGAAAGATTTAATATAAAAAAGGCCCATCCTGAACGTGAGCGGCGCTATCCTGTTGGCTGAGGTTCTGTACTGAACGAAAAAGGAAAACCTTGCACCGAAAAAAATAATTACATGTCAAAATGAACCAGACCCAAAGTCTACACACCTGGATGAACTTGTGTACAGTTAGCAAGGTGTTCGGAAGCTGTTGAGCACCATATGGAATTTTACACCTCGTGCTTTTGGAGTGTGGAGACGATGTGATGTGACCGGTTGCCTCATGTCCCTGCTGTTTTTCTCGCTACCAGGCTTTTCCCGTCACAATGTACCCTCAATATGTGAGCCAAAATAAACTCTTTAATCTTCAGGTTGCTTTTGCCAGTGCAACAAGAAAAGCAGTTGAAGGCGCTGGCTAGGTTTTCACCAGCCTGACACACTCTAGGTTATCCGGGAAGAGGAACTTCCGTTAAGTAAACGTTTCCATCAGACTGGCCTGCAGGCAAGTCTGTGGGGCATTTTCTTGGTTAATGATTAATATGGGAGGGTCCAGCTCACTGTGGGCAGTGCCAGCCCCCCAGTGGTCCTGGATGGTATAAGAAACCAGGATGAGCAAGCCCCAAGGAGCAATCAGCATCTCTCCATGGCCTCTGCTTCAATTTCTGCCTCCAGTTCCTTCCCTTCTGCCTTGAGTTCCTTTCTGATGAGATATAACAAATTCTTTTCTCTGGAAGCTGCTTTTGGCTGTGGCATTTATCACAGCAACGACATGCAGCAAGCACAAGGGATGTAAATCACCTGTCGGAACCTTGCAGTGCCCAGCCGTGCAAACACAGCTCCTTGGCTCTCTCTCCTGGCCTCTATTCTTTTCAAGAGCTAGAATCACTGACCCCTGCAAGGAGGAGAAAGGAGTGCCAGACTTCTTTGTTGTGGCGCTCACCTCATTCCTGGCTAGCACCCTGCTCTGCCTACCATTGCCACACAGGGGAGGGGCTACGTGCATAGGGCATAGGGAGTGATTCCTGCCAGACGCCAGAGCACAAGCCCAAGGTGTCAACTTGGCCCTCGCCTCCCTCTGCGGCCTTCTTCTTCCTCTTCCTCTTCTCTCTCTCTTCCCTTGAGGTAGAGGCCCTGTGGGTGTTTCTCCTGTTTTTACATTAGCTCCTTAGCGTTTCTATCAACCTCCCTCTTCCTCTGTGGCCTGGTCAGGGTGTGTACACAGAAGGCCTTGCACTTCTAGGACACTACCACCTTGAAAGTGGGCGCATCGCCACCTAAGAGGACGGCAGCACCTGGGGGAGTCAGGTGAACAGAAGTCACCTCCTTAAGGAGTGGGGGCAGATCATAGGTCACCTCTGCTAAGCCTGGGGCCTCCTGAACTCTCCACTCTTCTCTCTCTTGGGCTCTCAATCCCCAGGTAACATATTCCAAACTTCCCAGAGGTGGGATTGGAGGTGATCAGATAGAGAAGGGAATGTTACACAAAGGTTGGAGTCCAGGGCCAGTGAACTTATCTTTACCTGTGTTATTTACACAGCAAAGGTTCTGGTATGAAATTAACAGGGAATTACAAAGACCTTTAAAAACAAAAAACAGGCAGAGTGCCAAGAATCTTTCTTCTTCCTGGTCATCCACACCCTAGGAAGCAACGTAAAACAAAGGTAGCTCTTCTTTCTGGGGCTCAATGGCTGTAATCAGAGATTGGGATTTCTGAATTCATTTGCCCTTCTTGTCTACTTAAGCAGAATTTAAGTGGGGATCAAGCAGATCAAAGAAGGGCTTGTTTGGGAAACAAGGGGTGTAATTGTGACCCCTTTGCTTGGTGCCTCCTTCCTCTTCATTGCTTCCTCATTTTCCGCCTGTTTTCACTTTCACTGTTTTTTTCCTTTTCCACCATTTATTCTTTCTTCCCTTCCTTCCTGCCTCTCTCTGTCTCTCTGGGCTGTCTCTTTTGCCTGACATGCTGTCGTCAGTGGGAGCTGGGAGCCTGGGAGCTTCCTGAGGAACAGAAGCCAGAGAACCCACAGGACCTCATTCATAGAAGAAAGATTAAAAACACTCTGAAATGGATTGTGGGCACACGTTGGCCAGCCCTAGGCTGTGTTCTGGCTGTTGCATGGCCAGACAGGGCACTGGTATTGGAAGAGTTGGTTTCTTCATCTACTTGGCTAGGGCTGGTTTCAATCTGGCACCAGGAAAAGGAATTTCTACGCCAGCTGGCATTCATATAGAGGTAGTCATCTCAATTTTACTTGATGAAGGTGTGTTAAGAAGGCTGGAGGAGGGAGCTGGAGAGCTGGCTTAATGGCTAAGAGCACTGGCAGTTCTTCCGAGGACTTAGGTTTTATACCCAGGTCTCCCAGGGCTGCTCACAACCATTTGTAACTCCAGTTCCAGGGGGATCCGATGCTCCCTTCTGCCCTCTGAAGGTAACAGACATGCATAAAGTGTACAGGCATACACGCAGGCAAAACACCCATACACACAAAACAAAAACCTGAAACATAAAACAAAGCAAAACACAAAATGTTGTAAGACAGAGCCCTGGCTCAAGGAAGCCTCTTCCTGGGCCCAAGATGACTTAATATATCAAGAGGAAGTGCAGGTGGGCCCCTGGTGTGTGCACGCACCGCCTGAGGGAAGTGGAGGAGAAGATCCTATGTGCAGAGATACTCAGCATGCAACGACAGAGAGTAGGTCAGCACCTGCCATCCTGAAGTCCTGCCCACAACCCCACGGTGACCGCATGGGAATCTGTCACTATCTGACTCTCCAGCAATGGGTGCAGCTGACTTGTTAATTAGTGTCATAATCATCCCAAAGCCCCTTGATTTGGGGCTCTTTTGAAATCTAGTTGGCCTGATCAAGCAGGAGGTTGAGTGTAAGTTTCTATGGTCCAGACTTCCCAGGGAAATGGTGCTGGTCCAATGTGATCAGGCAACCATGGTCCTTTTCCAGCCTGTATGGACTGACCCTTCCTTATTTAGATTGGTCCCTGCTGCAGTTTGGATGTCTTAAATGTTCCCTCCAAGGGTTAATGTGTTGGGAGCTTGGTCTCCAATGTAGTGGCAAGGTCATCAGGGTTCTCTTCAAGTATTCTCATGGGGATCCAAATAGCCTAAGATTAATTCCACTAACTTGGTAGCCCTGTGTCTCTGAGGAGCGCAGGCATGGAGCTGGGCTTTCAAAGCCAGCGGCTTCCATCTCTAATCCTGGAGAACCAGACACAAGCCAGTGATGTACACTGTCTGCTCTCAGAGGCAGAGAGAGGCATGTCGCCTTGAGCTTTGAGTGCTCGGAAGCCAGTGCCCAGCATACAGTGTCACAGCTCTGGGCTTGCCCTCCAGGGCTCTGGGCGCTTAGAAACTCAAGATGACTCAGCAGCTTCCTAAAATTCTTCAGTCACTCATGTCTGCAACCCCACTATACCTGCGTCTCTGCAGAGCCTCTTGCCTTCTATAATCTCCATTCTCTTCAGCTTCTCTCTGCAATTTTCTTTGCTTCCAAATACTGCTGGGTTCCCTGGGGTTAGAAGCTCTGGGAATTGCCCATTCTCTATGGAGACAGTTCAGTCTATCTACCCTGAGGAAAGATAGATATAGGCAATGGATTGGGACCTGTGCTTACTGTACAGGAAAGAATATGGAACGGGAGGTCTCCCAAACTACTGGCTTAAGGTTGAGGGGAGAATGCCTCAAATAGGCATTCCTACATTCTGTGGCTGCTCAAGCATGTGTGTGTGACTGGTGAATGAAGAGTTAGAGAGGCAAACATTTTCCAGGACTGGAGAGATAGTGTAGGTGAGGAACAAAACTCTCAGAAACAGGAGGCAGTGGGGACTGGGGAAGGTAGAGTGGACAGGCAAGCTGGAGTTCAAAGGCATGGATGAACTAAAGATGCTTATTTTGGTTCCTAAAAAAAATACTGGAACTAACACCGAGAGGCTTAGTTAAAAAGCTAACAGAGGATGCTGCTGGTGGTGGCTGCTCACGCCTTTAACCCCAGCACTTGGGAGGCAGAGACAGGAGGATCTTTTGAATTCAAGGCCAGCCTGGTCTACAGAGTGAGTTCCAGGACAGCCAGGGATACACAGAAAAACCCTGTCTCAAAAACCCAACAATAACAACAACAACAAATCATAAATAACACTGAAAAAATATTTTTAATTGAATAAAAGTGAAAACATGGAGCTGGGTAGATTGCTCAGTAGTTAAGAGCACTTGATGTTCTTGCCCAGGATCAGGGTTTGGTTCCCATAGCCCACGTGGTGATTCAGTTCCAGAGGCTCTAATGGCCTAGGGACAGCTCCTTGGACAGGCTTGTACATACACACATAAAATAAATCTAAAACTAAACAAATCTAAAATGAAATGAAAATAAAATACCAAAAGTTGTGGGATGCAATCAAATTAGTAACTTTCCCCTCCCTCCTCTCCTCCTAGTGCCTTCTCGTAACTCCCCCTTTTCCCTGCCTGCCTCTCCCATCCACTTCTCTTTCTTTTCTCTTCAGAAAAGGGCAGTGTTCCCATAGATATCAACCAGGTATGGCATATTAAACTGCAGTGAGACTAGGCACCTCCTCTCTTATTAAGGCTAGATGAGGCAACCTAGTAGGAGGAAAGGGTCCCGAAGGCAGACAACAGACTCAGAGACAGCACCTGATCTCACTCTTAGGAGTCCCACAAGAAGACCAAGCTACCTAACTGTACCATATGTGCAGAGGGCCTCAGTCAGTCCCATGACTGAACTGCCAACCAAGTAAGAGATTTTTTACAGTCATGACTAATGGTTATCGTGAGCCCCGTGGTTCTCACTCAGCCTTATGGAGTGAAAGAATACTGAAGCAGTTTTCTTATCTCTGTCCCACCAGTATTTTTCCTTTGTGTGCAGAGGAGACAATTGATCTTTGTAGTTCACAGACCTCTACAACCAGGAATAGCCCTTGAAAAATCTCACCCTAATCACCCTGGGATCTGACTTTAATGGCGACTCTTTGGGCTGCAAACCTGAGTCTGACTGTTTTAAAAAGATGCTCTGGAAATCTGGTTTTGCTCTAGGAGTGACTCGTTTTGCAAGTAGATCTAAATCCTGGGAGGGTGGGAAGAAGAATGTGATAGATTATTGAACTGGTGGCCCCAGGAGACCACACCTTCTCATAGTAACATTCCAATGAGCGCCCTATGGACTCAGGGCATGGCCAACAGGACATTAGCCAAAATAAGGCCAGCCAACTTGACACAGGGTTGTGTGTGTGCTGGGGTGTGTCCTGTCGGATCACTCTCGGAATTCAGCTGCTGTGTGTAAAGAGGATGGGTGATCACTGCAGATGTTGTGGAGAGAAGCCACGAGGCTGAGAGATGCCCCTGGGTT